GGGGGGGAATCTGAAATTTTAAAATCACAAGTCCAGAATGCATTTTATTATAGTCAATTAGCATGCTCTGTAGTTTTTTGAATTTAAATAAATAGGCTTGTATATGTCATAACACTTGAATTATTTTAACAGATACATCAAATTGTTGATGATCGTTAAAGTTGGTTATAGTTTATGTTTGGATATATTTTTTAAAAATATATTTTTATTGACTTCAGAGAGGGAGAGGGAGAGAGAGATCGAAACATCAGTGATGAGAGAGGATCATTGATTGGCTGCTTCCTGCATGCCCCACACTGAAGATCGAGCCGGTCATGTGCCCTAACTGGGAAGCAAACCGTGACCTCCTGGTTCATAGGTCGATACTTAACCACTGAGCTGGGCTGTATGGATATTTTAATGATAAAAAGTTAAAATACTCATTGACAGAAGTTTTCATTTATTGAAGACTTTACAAACTAGAGCTTTGGAACTAGGCTAGGCCTTGAGGATAATTTATCTAAGTCCTCTTTGTTAAAGGAAACTGAGGCACTAAGATGTTAGAAGGATGTTAGTAGCTTGAACAGGTACTGATTAAGTGGAGCCGAGACTCCTGACTTCCAGTCCTGTGTTATTCAGATCTTTATGCCAGGAGTAAGGTTCACTGCTGGAAAATGAGAAATGATTGCCATTACATAAAGCAGATGTGGGAAAAGCCAAATTATGTTCTTGGGACCAAAGAATTAAATGTTCAGTTGTATGAAGTTCTCTGTTTTGGAGTTGGGGGATGGTGATGGAGAAGAGAAGGAGATGGTTCATTTTAGGATTCTTGATTCTTAAAAGCTAGCCAGTTCTAGCTTCTAAATTATTTGACTGCTCAGATGATTAACATAGAGACCTCAAATGCAAGAAAATTAGCGTTAGTATACTTTACTTATACATGTCCTTTAAGAATAATACAAAAATTCTCAGGTATTACCATGTTTTTTAAAGCTGGAAAATTGATTTGTGATAATTATGATTCTCAGAGAGAATACAAATAATTATGAGTTAAAGGGAAACATCTATGAATTTTTATTTTCTACTCAAACTGGCATTTTCTCATTATAAGAGGTGTTGTGGTCTATAATTGATAACTTGACTGTTTCATATTCAGGAAGAGTAAACAAGAGTCAGATTCCAAGTAGTTTAAAATGTCACAGCAGTGAATCTGACATTTCTCTCTTGGTTGTAATAGTGCATTCATTCTAGTATCTCCTTCAATACCTTGTGTTAGGATGTAGGAAAATAATATTGTGTGGTGGGTCAACACTATTTGCAAGTTGTAAGCACTCTTGCTTGTGAGATACTTCAGTGAATAGCCTTAGGCAAAAACAAAGAGTTTTTCTGTGATATTTAAAAATCTATGAATAGTTTGTATACATTTAAGACTGAGAATTTAAAAATAATTAATTTATTTTAACATTATAATAATAAACCTAATACTTATTAACATACTATTTTAATGAAAATAACTATATTTTCCAAAACAAAAATATCTCTGGAGAAGAGTGCCATTTTTCACAGTTTTGCAAATATATTTCAGTATGTCATTTTGATTAATGTATATAAAGAAAATTTCCATCATATAGGTATGTACTTAAAAGGAAATTTTAAAACTTTTTCAGATAATTCTTCTTTGATACTACACCAAAAATCAGCAGTTGGTAGAAGATCAGTTGCAAAATGAAATAGAAAATTCCACTGCAGTGGCCTTGGTCACAGCAAAATCCTGCATGAGCCAAAACTCTAAAGGAGGGGGACCATCTTTGTTTGGTGGAACTGTGGGCAAAGCCTCTTTGCCTTTTTTAAAAATCCTCACCTGAGGATTTTTTTTTTCATTGATATTTAGAGAGTGGAAAGGGATGGGAGAGACAGAAAGAGAGAAACATTGATGTGAGAAAGACACATCCGATTGGTTGCCCTCCTGCACGTGCTCCAACCTGGGCGGGGATCAAGTCTGCTACGAGGTGCGTGCCCCTGACCAGAATTGAACCCGGGACCCTTCAGTCTGTAGGCCAACACTCAATCCACTGAGCCAAATCGGCCTCTTTGCCCTTTTTTATTTCTCTGTCCTCCTGCCCCTCCAAACATGTAAAGAAGAAATGCCACCAACTTAACCGTCTCTTCCAGAGAATGGAAGAAAAGAGAACTTCTCAGCTTCCTATACATCGTCAGCATTACTCTGATACCAAAATTAGACAGAGACAGCACAAAATGAGAAACTACAGACTGATATCTGTGAACATTGATACAGATATCCTCAATAAAACATTAGCAAGTTGAATTCAGCAGTATATACAAACAATACACCATGATCATGTCGAGGGTTAGTCCTTGAATGCAAGGCTAGGTCAATATTTGAAAGTAAGTCAGTGTAATCCACCATAATAACAGTCTAAGGAGAAAAACTACATGATTATACCAATAGATAACAACAGCAACAACAAAAAGCCCACACACATTTGACAAAACACAACATCCACTCATAAAAATCTCTTGGAAAATTAGAAATAGAAGGGAAATTCCCTAACCTGTTAAAGGTTACCTATAAAAATTTTACAGCGACTATTATACTTAATGATGGAGACTGAATGCTTTCTTTCTGAGATTAGGAGCAAGGTAAGATGTCCACTCTCAACACTCATATTCAACATTATACTGGAGTCTTAGCCAGTGCAGTATGGCAAAAAAAGAAAAGAAATAAAAGGCATAGAGATTGGTAAGGAAGAAATAAAACTGACTCTGTTTACAGATAACATGATTGTCAATGTAGAAAAACCCAAGGAATCTACCCAGAAAACTAACCAACAAAACCCTATGATTAATGCGAATTTAGCAAGCTTTCAGAATATAGGGTCAACACAGACAAATCAATCTCATTTCTATAACTTGCATTGTACAATTAGAAACCCAAATGTGAAAGCCAGTACCATTACAATAACTTAGAAAAACTAAATACTCAGGTATAAATCTATCAAAGCTTGTATAGGCTTTGTATGCTGAAAACTACAAAATTGCTGAAATGTAATTTATTTGGTGTATAAATCATTTTGTTCAGTTGTCACCAAGATTTCTCTGCCTATACTCAAATTTCCTTGGAGGACAGATTCCAGAGTAGCAATCATATTTTCATGCATCTAACTTCATCTATGTTGTATGAAATAGATGTAACAGTAGACTTTTATATATACATATAAAATCTTCAATTTTACCTGTCTAATTTGAAGAACATAAAAATAATTTCAAGTTTTGGTTGTTTTTCCAACATAAAGGATCAGTCGTATTCATCATGTGATTTGGAATTGAATTTCATATTTCATGTACACATTCATCTTTGTCAGTGGCTGCTTAGGAGCTGTTATAAACACGTGAAGTCCTGCTGTGCCTGTCAGCTGTGTGAATTTTTTTTCCTTTTAATTTCAGTTTGGAAGCCACAAATGAAACATATTTTCTAAAAAGTTTAATTTAATATTGTCTCTTTTTATATCAGCCTTCTATTGTTTTCTGATTTTTAGTTTTCCTTATTTAAGCTTTGTGGTTTGTGGACCTGTTCATTGCCAAAAGGTGTTTGTTTATGCTGCTGGTGTATATATGTTAAGTATTTAATGAAAAAGGGCTTAGAGAATTAACTCTTGAAATTCACATGAGTGTATTTAGTGTTGTGTATCAGCAGGGGATTTGATTTATTATAACCTGTTCCCTCTGAGTCCAGAGCTGACATTAGTTTTATGCTTAAGTATTCACACACAAAGACTTTAGAATGTGATCCCCTGTGGACTGTGACTGGGCTGAACACTCAGGGCCTGGTAATAAAAAGAAGCACTTCATTTAGATTCAACGAGCTAATCATCTTCATAACAAAGATTGGTAAGAAAAGACATAGTGCACAAGCTATTAGGATCAGTCATCCAGGATTGCCTCGCCATAGAGAATACAAAGCAGTTTAGAAAGGTTGGTTATTCTACTCAATACCTGACTGTAATGACCTTTGCAAAGAAATTTCAGATGTGCTGATTATTTAGGATGGATCATCTAGAAAACCAGGATCAAATTCAGACTGAACTTGACCATTGGAAGAAAAATTGCCTTTACAGCAGAGTAAACTTAAAGATGAATTTAGATATTATTCTTCGATATAGAACAACAATAAAAACATATGAGAGAAAGAATTAACTAGATGGAAGTATTATCTCTCACCTTTCTCATCCAGTAGCTAAGACTTCAGAAATGCGGAAACCACCTGGGCATTCATCACTTAATAGCTAGAGAAATGCTCTCCTTCCACCCTTTCCTGCCTTTCTGCACACGGGCAGCCAGTCCAGACCATGCCCTTCCCTGGTTTATATTCTGGTGGTTCTGTCTGTGGCGGCCTTACCCTCATAGTGCCTACACCACCAGTTTTCCCATTTAACTGGCCTAACAATACCTGCTTTTGCTTAGATTCCCAAAAAGCATCCTGCTATGACTGTACCAATTCAACTCTCTCCTTTGTAATCTAACCTCCAGTGCCTGATTTCCAATTATTGCTAGCGACAATGGTGAAGGAAAGATTCCTCAGAATCCTAGTGACCACGAACTGAACAGCAGTTTTATTATTATTGGGGAGCAAGAGGGGGCAATAAAAACTAATCCCAATCTGTCATTTAAGACCTAACAAGGAATCTTATCTTTACATGTTACATTAAAACAATTATATAACAGCAAGCCCATCCTGTGTGCCAGGAACAGTTCTAAATGCTATGCATGCTGAACTCATTTTAACTTTCCCAATAATCCTAAGAGGTAGGTACTGTGGATAATGAAGCCACGTTTACAGATGAAGTTCCCAAGAGGTTAAGTCGGTTGCCCAGGGTGACACTGCTCATAGAAGACAGAATATTTTTGAGATTTTCTGCTTAATACCGTGAGATTGCTGTGCACTCAGGAAGGGGGAGGGTATAAGTTCCACTGATGGATGAAATGTCCTTTTCTTTGTGTAGTATGAACCCAGAGGACCTGGCCGGCCCTTGTACCAAAGAAGAATCTCCTCTAGCTCAGTCCAACCTTGTTCTGAAGAAGGAAGCACTCCTCAAGATAGCCTTGCTCGGTGTAAAGAGCTTCAGGACCACAATAACCAATCCTCTTTCAACTTATTATCCCCGGAGTCCTGGGTAAACACCACCTCATCTACCCCCTATCAGAACATTCCGTGCAATGGATCCAGCCGGGCAGCCCAGCCCAGAGAATTGATAGGTAAGACAGAGTTGGCGGGCTGCTAAAACTGTGGTTGTTTATGGAGTTTTCTTCTTCCATCTCCCCCGTTTGCATTATTAACTTTGAACAATATTTAGTGGTCATAGCTCATAGGTAGCCTCAGGCATACATTAATTTAGAACCATATTGATTCCATATTTATGGTCTGGAAGGTAAGTGGATCAATATTTATGGGGAACTGATCATTTTGACCTGTGAACAAATGAAAGAGGTAATAAATGTATTAAAATGTATTTCTAACTACTAGATAGACTCACCTTTGCTTGGGAAATGTTTGTTTTCTGTTGTTGTTTTTGGAGAGGGTTTCTTCAGAGTGGGGGATGGTAGAATTGGTTAGGTCAGTAACAGTTTTCAAGGATTTATTCTCAATAAAGTTTGAGACATGGTAGTTTGGCCATGAGAGAAATCAGTAAAGTCTAACATTTTGAGATTTAGAAATCCTTTGTTTATTTCTTGTATTCTAATGAACTGAGAAATCCAAGGTTAAAGAGTTAAAAACAAAAGCATAGAAAGGCATTGGAATGGGTAAGGCTCTAAACTTGTAATGTATGGTGGGATGTCTATAGTCTTCCTCTTTAGCCTTGAACATGAATGTGCTTTTATCTTTCTTTCGTTCCTTCTTTGTGTGTGTGTGTATTTTGCATGTAAAGAAATGAATGCTGCTATTTGCATTCTGTAATCTATAGCATGTTTGTAGGCTGTCGACATCGATCTTTGGGAACAAGTCTGTGATCTTTGGTGAATTTCTGCTTGGTAGCAACCTTTGTATTTGAAATTAATTTTGTTCATCTTTAGAATGTGAACCCATTGTTTCTGTAACTGACCCATTTTTGAGTGTGTGCCATGCAAGCATATTTTTAGAACTATAGACATGGTAGGGCAAAAAGCAGTAAGAAGATTTTGGTTTTGTTTCCTGGCAAGACATTGTCATTTTAATCTTTAAACATTCATTAGTACCTACCATGTGTAAGCTGTATTTTGCCTGGGGTTGCTTTTTCATTTTAAAGGTCTAACGTAAATACACTCCTATGATCACATTTGAATTTCCTGAGAAACATCTAAATTACAAACCAGTGATGGAAATTTGTTACTTTTTCTTTGATTTGTTTATAATAATTTATTTTAAAGACAACATCATTTCAATCTTTTTTCCACTTAAGTTTTAGGATAGCTGTTGGCCAAAATCAATAAAAATTTAACCTGAGCTGACAAGGTAGAAAGTTCCTGAACAAATGCCCAAAGTGCATGTCATTCCTGGTATCTTTTACACAAATATAAAACTATTTTTTTCATTGCTAGGAGACAAATTGTACTGTTCTTTAGTTGAAAGTAAAAGTTAAGTATGTAGAAATTAATTCAAAATCACTAATATCTTTGGCACAACTTGTCTATCAGCAGGTATGTATGTAGATACGTACATATTTATTTTCAGAGGAAGGTAGCAGTTGCCAGTGGTGAATCAATAGCAAAATAGTTTCTCCACAGTTATAAGCCCAAGAGCAGAGACCATATCTGTGACCTTTTTGAATTGGATTTTCCACTTTGGCACTGATCACATTTCAGGCTCTTTCAATGTCTGCTGATAAGGAGATAATGAAAGTAGATCCTGTGCAGTGAGGCGCTGATCCCAGTCCCTGCAGGGCCTTTCCGCATGGGCATGGTGGTTCCCGGGCAGGGGAGGTCCCTCTCTAACACGATGTGTTTGGGTTCTATTCACTTACCTTGGTAATGAGACATACTTTATCAGACATTTAAAGGATAGTTTCTCTATCTGCAGTTAAATATATAAGTTAACAGAAGTTTTGAATTCAGGTAGATATAACAACATAGACATTAGGTTAAACAGCCTCTAAAATACTATTTTGTAGGTATTTATTATTATAAACTGATTATATTGTCATGAAAATGAGAACATGGTTAAAAATAAATCTTAGTAAATAAAAACAGTAAGTTCTTTAACAGCCAATTAAATGTTTGCTTTATGTACTGTGGTAGGCAGTACTGTCACTTTATATTGAAATGTTGGACAGATGCTCTTAAAAGCAGTTGTTTCACTTACAAAGTCAGTGACATTTAGATGGAAAAGACACAAATGTTCTAGAAGGATGTTAAGTGGTTTAAAATAATTTTGAACAATTTTATGAATTTTTAAAGTTTTAAAGTACACTATGAAATTAGCATAATGAGTCAATGAATTATTAAGACTAAAAAATGAAATATTTTCACCTTAACCTCCCAATCCACAAATAGGTAATAAACATGCGGGAGTCCTGGCCAGTTTGGCTCAGTGGATGGAGCGTCGGCCTGCGGACTGAAAGGTCCCAGGTTCGATTCCAGTCAAGGGCATGTACCTTGGTTGTGGGCACATCCCCACTGGGGGGTGTGCAGGAGGCAGCTGATCAATGTTTCTCTCTCATCGATGTTTCTAACTCTATCCCTCTCCCTTCCTCTCTGTAAAAAATCAATAAAATATATTTAAAAAAAAACAAAAACAAAAAAACATGCGGGAAATGCCCATAACCACCAGTAATCACAGGTATGCAAATCAGAGCTACAACAAGATTATTTATTTATAAAATAGGTTAAGGTTAAAAAAGTAATAACACCAATGTGGTGATTGAGTAGGGAGATGTGTAAACATTGTTGGTTGAGTACCTTCTTGCAGGGAAGTTTGACCATAGTTATGAAAACCTTTCATTGTGTGTATACCATATGACCCAGCCATTATACTTCTAGGGATTTATCCTAAGGAAATAGTTGTGAATATTAATAAATGTTTATTTCCAATAACATTTATCGCAGTGCATGGCAGTGAACTATTGCTTATAATCCAAGTTTCTAAAAATGAGAGATTACTTAAAATTTATCTACATTATATATTGCCCTTAGGAAAAAAATACACCAACAAATTAAGGCTTATCCTCAGGTATTTGGGAATATGAATGACTGACTTCCTTCTTCGGCCTTTTGTGTAATTTCCAAGTTACCTTCAATGAACATATATAGGATTATAAACCAATATAATATTAGTTAAAATCTTAAAAGATTGAAAACCAGAGCAGTGTTTGGAAACAAGTTATGGTTTAGTGGGCAGTAAAATTAGGAGGAGTCAAGTCAAATTTTAAAGGACCTTGAAAGTCAGGTAGATTATAGGAAACGTGAACTGAAGTTTATAGCGGTTTCTCTTTATGCCATATTTACTTATGTATTGCAAGAAAAGGTAGCATTTGTAAGCAATGGAATTCAGTGCTACTATTACTTAGGTTACTAATCAAAGCTATTTTGACCAGAAGTCTGCCTATACAGCTTATTTTTATTTAAGAAAGAACATGTTTGTTTCCATTTTCAAACCATGAGCAGTTAAAATAATAAATTTCAAATGTCCACTTGTACATATTAGAGTTTTGAAAGCAAACCTTCACACTTGACCTTTAGTTTTTATATGCCAGCTATTCCAGTTCATGTAGTGAACTCTTGTTGAGTGTTAATAAGAGAGAGAAGTTGGTTAGGTGTATTATGATTTTGACATTCTGTGGCAGAGTTGCCTGTTCTCCTGGCTACCCTGTCCCAAGTACCTGGAGATGAGAACCAGTTGTGACATGCGTTAATGAGATGTATGAGGATCACCAGGCTCGCCCTTAATCCGTGTCACTGTTTCCTGCTTTTAGCTCCTCCCAAGACCATCAAACCCCCTGAGGATCAACTGAAGTCTGAAAACCTCGAGGTGTCCAGTTCCTTCAACTATAATGTGCTGCAGCATCTCGGCCAGTTCCCCCCCCTCATGCCCAACAAGCAGATTGCAGAGTCGGCTAACAGCAGCGGCCAGCAGACCTCGGGGGGCAGCAAGCCCGCCATGTCCTACGCTAGCGCTCTGCGGGCGCCCCCCAAGCCCAGGCCCCCGCCTGAGCAGGCCAAGAAGAGTAGCGACCCTCTGTCTCTGTTCCAGGAACTCAGCCTGGGGAGCTCCGCAGGCAGCAACGGCTTTTACTCCTATTTTAAATAATCACTTTGTTTTTGCCTCAAGGGAGAATGTTTTAATTTCTGTTTCTATCAATAGAATTAAGATAGTTGGACTTCATCTATAGATGCACAGTTCCCTTTGTTTTAATATTAAATATGTTCTCACTTAATTGCTTCGCTGCTAGACTTGCAACTAATTTTTTAAAAGTATATTCCATTATTTTGCATTTTTGACATGAGTCAGAATTTTGACAGCTTTTATGTAGAATAAAAATATTTTTAAATTTGTGTATTGTTACATATGTTTGCATCGAACTAGCAGCTAAGAGGTTAATTGTGCAACTATAAAAAAAAAAGAGAAAAAAGTTTGTCTAAAATGTATTTAAAAAGAAAAAAAAAGTTGTAAGTAGCATTTACATTTATTCAATAATATTACCATATGCTGGGTTTCTGTACCAGAAATGGCCAGTTATGTACAAAATGTATGTTATTTTTGCTTAAATTCATTTAAAATTTTTTAAAATAAAGGGCAGCATCTTATAAATACTTTAAGTTTTATCAGCTTTTTTTGGTGACAAGATGCTGCATTCTAAAACTTTGATAGTTTTAGACCACGTGTGGTGTGCTGATGTCATCTCCATCCACTGAGGATAGAGTCAGAGGCGTTCTTCGCAGGTGTACCTGTATGCCACTGTTCTTTGTAACGTGAAAAAACATGGGCATACTTAGTTATTTTTTTGAACAAGCTACACTTCAAGCTTGTTTTTACTGTTAATTTGATAGTGTGTTTTTTTTAAACAGATCATGAAGCTGAAAATTTTTAGGATTGTTGGTGCTTAGTAGACTTGATAACTATTTTAAAAATGCGTGGATTTAGTAAAATCTTTTTTTCCTCACTATGCATGTGTAAACGTTTGTAATCTGGCTCCCCGTCACCCCCTGCCCACTCCAGTGGTATAAAAAATTGTGCCGCTTTAAGGTTATTCCCCCTCCCGTAAAAATTTTGGTACCTTATTTAATGTTTACATAACAATGTGACATTATACATGGCAATTCAAATATTTTACTAACTGTTTGGTTTGAGGAACATCATTAAAGAAGAAACATGTTTGTCAAAGATGCATCAAAATTCGTCAAAATCTGAGGCAAAAAGCTACCCTTGGTTTTCATGTCTTTTGATTCTTCTAAAATAACCCCACTGAACTTGTACAAAAATATAAACTTTAAATAGCAATCTTAAATATTTTACAGTCTAAACGCTGTTTTGAATGAACTTCTGTAAAAATCCAAAGGGAAAACATTTATCCTCTTGAAACTTGTAGTTTCGTAACCCTTTTGAAGCGATGCATGTCCTTGTTGTTTTCCTGATCTAGTACCACCACTTATACTTGAGAAGTAGTTTGAAACTACAGTATAACTTTTTAAAAACTAAGAGGAGGTTGGGAATATTGCAAATGAACCAGTGGGTCCTGATGATCGATCGGAGGCCTAGGCCATCCTGTACTCGCAGTAGGCTTTTAAAACGGCTGGGAAGTGGCAAGGGTAAAGGACACTTACATCTCTGATGTTGGGCAGCCACAGTCCCCTGTGATCCCTCCCCCCCCCCCCAACAGCTTAGGAGGAGAGACTGCCTTTATCCGAAGGTTCTCAGGTTGCAGGGCAGATGCAGGGGGCCTCCCGCTGAGCTGTCTTTCTGCTCATGTGTGGCTGTGGGGTCTAGGGGTCTCGGTGTGCAGAGTGCAGACATGCGAATAGTTAGTATAAATCACAGCAAGTCACAGCACCACGTTTTCTCCGTGTGATGTCAGGTCTCCATGTGTAGCTATGCCAGATGTTACCCAGCATCCTTTAGTCACCAGGAAAGAAGAAACAAATTTGCCATCTAGCTATGTATTTCCAACTCCGTCACAAAGCTGAAGACATAGCCCAAATGAAAATTAGGTCTCCCTGACGTGAGGATGCCTGTGAAAATCATTTTCTCGTCACTGATGATCTCCTCTCCCCAAATCTACCGACTGTAACACACACCAGATAAATGTTCAGAAGCATCTGAATAATATGAAGACAAAACTGTCATGTCAGGTTGACCTCTTGTCATGAAATACTAGCCTCATTTTCTGGTTTCCATACTTGAACCTTAAAAATTATCCGTTTTAAAATTATTTATATTTATATTTACTTAAAGAAGCCATGTGCATGCCCCGCCACCTTATATAAATATATTGATGATGGGAGCTTTGGATAAGGGAGCTGTTAAGTTGTGACACTCCTAAGTGGTTATTTCTAAAACAAAACTGAAAATAGTAGCCACTTACTAGTCCCTCGCTCTGCCGTGAGTGTCTGAGTCTCTTCTGCAGCCATCGGGTCGCATGCTGTTTCCGTCTGGTCCTCTTTGAGAGTCTGGCTTTGATTGTGTTTCCACCCCCAGCAAGTTTACTTTCTCAGCAATAGTTAATACCATCCTTCCAGTTGGTCATTAAACCTGTTGTCTATGCAGAATCTCTTGAATGGTTCTGAGCAAGTCTTACTGCAGGAATCATTACAAGTTTCCATGGAAACAAGGCTTGGCTTCTGAGGACCAGTCATGCTGTTTCGGTGTTGTTTGGGTAATATTAGCAAGTACCCACAAATAAGACTTTTAAACAATTTAAAGACTAGCTTCAACCCTAGCATTAAGAAAACTTTGTGTTAGCTTTTGAATAGTACCCAGTATTACCAACTTCCTTTTCTTCTAGAACAGATTTCTTCTAGGTGAGGTTCATTGTTTACTTCTTTGTCCTTTGTTTCATGAGGAAGCTTCCTCTTTCTTGCCAGACTATTTTTTTTTATTCGTTTCACTTTTTAATTTCTTCAGCTACTAAGATTTTTTTCCCCCTTAAAGAAATTCTTTTGGGTGATAGAATTTGTAAAAAAAATTCATGCTGAAAATTTTTTCCTGGTCTGAAAATTAATTTTTTATTAAGATTTGAAGAGCCTCATTCAGTGGAACATGGATATTTTCTGGTGTGTTTTTAAAGGGGGTTTTGATTGTCATTTTGGCATATGCCTTGCCAACTTGTTATAGCAGAACTTTGTTTTTGATTCATCGGTAGTTAATTATTGACCATTTAAACTAACATGACCTTAATTTTTCTTTCCTTAGGCAGATGTGCTTTCTATCTAGGCCGTTTTGTATGTATGAAATAACAAACTGCTTTGTGGGGTTTTTTCATCAGAGAGTCTAGAATAAGTTCAGGTTTGGTATAAACATCAGTTGGTCTTTTCAGTTCAAAGAGTTGGAGAATAAGTAAAATAAGCAGAATTCCCACTGAATAAGCATTACCTAATTAAACATAGCAATCTCCAAGACCAATTTGTGAAAATAGCTTCCTTGTTTATGGAGGCATTGAAATTGCTGAGAAAGCTAACTGAATTTTCTAACTTGGAGGTAATATGTAGTAGTATTTTGCTCTAGTGTAGTTGATTTTACATGTTTAATATTGTTCATATATATACATCTCAAGAGCAAAGCTATAAACATATAAGAATGTATCTCTATGTACCTTGGCTAGAGAGAGCCATCTTGCCTAAGAGCCAGGGTGAAAAACAGTTTCAAGATAAATTTTAGATTTCAACTACTGTTATTAAGAAAATTAGATTTACTGGAAAAGCCATTAAAAAAGAGACACCTGTTATACTTATGGTAGATAGCATTTTTTTCTATTGGAGTTGTTTTTAAAAGGGAATTCCAGAAAGAGTCTAAACTTTAAATATATTAAAAGTTACAAATTGCTGCCTTAAAATGTTATTTAGGCTACCATTTTTTTTTCTCTTGTAGCTCCAGAAAGGTAGCAATTTGCCTTTTGTGATTCACCAGACATTATTCCTTGCTAACCATCCCCTTAGCTTATGAAAACCCTTCATTTCTAACACCACCCTGTGTGTCTTCCTAAATCTCAAGTAGATGTTCCCATGGTTCTGATTTTTCTTTCCTCTTTTTGCCATCTGTCCACAAATGACCTAGCAGATAGAAATAATGGATAATGTCTTAACCATGATTTCTTGTCCAAATGGTCACTTCAGTTATGTCCATCACATGGTGTAAAGATATCAGGAGTAAGTGGCATGTTAGTCTTCAACGTCCTCATTATATTGGGCTTCTCACATTTCCATCTACTTGAGGTTGGTATCTGTTTGCTGAGATTTTACTGTGAAGCTGCTACATTCACACTTACTACTTTCATGCCTGTTTAATTAGCCCTTTCAAGACCATTGTTACAAGAAATGAATGTTACTAACCTTGAACGTTCTTATAAAACACATGCAGAAAATGTCATTGTTATTGCTTTAAACAAGAATATCAGATTAAACAGATTGACAATAAATTTTTAATGTAACATTTACAATTTTTGAAATGATTGAAAAATATCTACTTTGGAATAAACTTGAAGGAAACAGTCACAGGAGTTTCTAAATGTTTTTTTGAGGGGAATTACCTAACAGAAGAATCTAGACTTAGTAGTGTGAGCTGTTGTGGTTAAATCCTAAGCCCAATTATGCAATAGTAGCTTAAAGCTTCTAAAACAGGAATGTTAAGGAAAGAAACCCAGAGACCTTCAGATACCTGTAGTTTCAGTAATCTGAGTATTAGATTACTGGACTTTATTTGCAAGTTGTTCAACAGATTTTATTTTGATACAAATATTAAGCATAATCAAGTAAGTTTTATATAATTCTATGGGTTCATTAATCGATACTATGGCATTTTCGTTGTGTTCTTGGGGAGTTGTTTTAGCTATTTCTACACCTCTTATGTGAGGTCTCTTTTGTGTTTGATTTTGCATTATAGCATGTGACGGCCTACCGTAGAATTATGTGGATGAGGAGAAATCAGTATTACTTTTAAAAAATCTATTTTTTTGAAATAAGTTTTTTCATTCATACTTTTTTTGATCTTTGAGAAAGTAGGGGTGGCAAATTATAAAGGTTTCCACGCGGAGTGGAAGCCACTCAGAAGTGTGTTTAAAAGTCTGTCCTGTTTGAAGATTCGAGAATGTCAAGCAGGATGGAGCAGTGGTTTCAAACGTAAGGCAGCAGCAGCAGTGCCTGGAGGGGCTTATTAAAATACAGGTTGCCGGGCTCCGCCCTGAGTTTCTGCTTCCCGGCTGGAGCCCCATCATTTCCAACATGTTTCCAGGTGATGGAAGCAGGTTCAGGGACCACCCTTTGAGAACCACTGGTCTAGAGAAAGTCTTACAGTCTTTTCAACCATGCATTTATTTACTCTGTATAAAAACAGAGCTCTCAAGGCATTTTTATAATTCGGATGCCGTGAGTGGAACACCCGTGAAGAACGCTCTGAGGGAGGAGCCCTTTGGGCTGCCTGGCACCCCGACCCGTTGCCGGCCCCCTCTGAGGTCAGTGCCCCTCCTCCTCATGAGGGTGCAGAAGCTCATGTCTAGGGTGGGTCTGAATTTGTGTTCACTGCAGCCTGGGCTTTAGTCTGGAAACTGCATTTGTTTGACGTGCATAGAGTCTGTCTCGGTAGTCCATGCCATTGGAGATGAGACTTGTGGAAGGAAGCCATCAGAATGTCACAAGGATGCACTTGGCACGAGGCACAGGAGGCCCTGTCCTAAGATGCCAGTGACATAGAAAACCATAGATAATCCCTAAATAATGTATTTGTAGTTTTTATTATTTGGGGGGCGGGGGAGGGCAAGGGATTTCTTTTCAAATTATGTATTTCTCAGGTTAACAGAATTATTTTGGATTCTCTGCCTTGTCAGCAGGTATTAGGGGAGGCTGCAGTAATATATAGACATATATATGGCAGAAAACTGATAATTGTCTGATTGCTTTGTTACCTTAAAAACACCTATATATGTTTGCAAAATAGTATAGGGGAATCTACCACCTA